CCCGTTAAAGGGCTTCGTCAGGAACACCATACAAACAAATAATGTAATCACCATCATCACCATCATCACCATCATCATCATCATCATCATCATAAATAGCAGGGAATAAAAAAGGGGGTTGAGACTTGTAGAATTTTCAAATTTAATACATCATCATACTCATCATCATCGTCTTAATAGTAACAATAATAAAAATAACAATAACAATAGATAGGATTTGTATAGCCCCAATTCCCGCTCAACAGCAAGCTCTCTGCGCCGTGCAATCTATAAATGTGAAGCGTGCTGACAAAATGAGCTGCTTCTTGGATTGGATTTGAGTCCTATGGAAATAGATACATCACGCTCATTACAGGCCAAGTTTTTACAATTTATAAGCATGAGATTATAAAAGGCATGTCATACTCAAAGAATATGGCATCAATAGAAAATCGACAAATTTGACCCTTACGTTGATTTTTGGCCAATATCTCCATTTTCGGATTGCAAGAAGTAACTCATTTTGTCAGCATGCCTCACATATGACCACCGTATCGTGATCATTGTGTCGAGGCAAAATATAATCTTTATATGACCACCATACCGCGATCATTGTGTCGAGGCAAAATACAATCTCTGTATGACCACTGTACCATGACCATCATACGAGAGACAAAATACAATCTCTATATGACCACCTTATCGAGATCATCGTACGAGAGACATAATACAATCTCTATATGACCACCGTACCGCGATCGTTACCGTATTGTGATCATTGTGTTGAGACAAAACACAATCTCTATATGACCACCGTACCGTGACCATTGTACTAGAGACAAACACAATCTCTATATGACCATCGTACCATGAGGAATGTACGAGAGACAAAATACAATCTCTATATGACCACCGTAGCGTGATCGTTACCGTACCGTGATCATTGTGTCGAGACAGGTCGTTCTTGTCGATGAAGAGGTCGTGGTCTTTGTCCAGCTCCCAGAACTTGCAGTAGATGACGTAGAAGTGCTCGTAGGAGAAGAAATCCTTCACCTGGTTGATGTCTTCTTCTACCTCCAGCCTCGACACCGTCTGATGGAGAGAGAGAGAGGTAAGGAGGGGGGAAAAAAGGATGTAGAGAGGGGAAAAAATTTTGTATGTATACCTGCGTGTGTTTTTACGGTACTGTACAGCCACGGAAAATTTCCCTCTGGGACAATAAAGCATTATCTTATCTTATCTTATCTTATCTTATCTTATCTAATCTTATCTTATCTTATAACATGTAAAAAGAAGACTCGAAATCATGGATAGCCTGTATGATTTCCCACTCCCCCTTTTCTCCTCCCCTGTCTCACCTGTTTTGTTTTTGTAAAGTGTTTTACGGCGCTCGCAACTGCATAAGGTCATATGAGCGCGCGGGACACACCTAATATGTTCAGTTGGTAGGAAATTTTGAATTTTGCCCGGGTGGCGGCCGAAGCCTACTCTTATAGATTTTAGACCACCAAGGGATCTTTAACGTGCGCAACTTGCACACGGCCCTCCGAGATTTTTCGCCCTTGTCCGAGAAGGCTAGGTGTAGATCTTTCCTACCAGAAGATCAGGGGTGTGGCAGAAAGACAGCAGTAAGGAGGAGCCAAGGAGTAGCAGTAGAAAGGCTGCAGAAAGAGTCAGGAGCCCAGAGGAGGGGGCAAAGGAGGTGAGGGGGTGGGGGCAGAAAGTGGAAATGAAAGCAGACAACAGAACATTGCTAGAGAGCAGGAAAGAAGGTGAAAGGAGACAATTTTAGAGAAGAAAATTTTTCGGTCGCTACCCGGATTCGAACCCGGGACCTTTTGAATGAGAGGCCAACACCTTAACCTCTAGGCCACGAGAGCCCCATGTCTCACCTGTAAAAAGTTGGACTTGCGTAGCTCAGGCAGCGATATCCTCCCCGACCACGATCGATTCACACAGAACAAGATGCGGGAAATGACCTGGGGACGAGACGAGGTGAATGAGGCGGGAGGGCGGAGGAGGTAACTGTGAGGTTTCGGTGAGTGTGAATGTGTGATGTATAAGTAAGTGTGTGTGTGTATTATTGAGGGAGGCAGAGAAGGAGATGGGAGGACAACATCACAGAGTGGACAGGGAAGACGATGGGAGACAATCTGAGGAAAGCAGAGGACAAAGAGAAATGGCGAGAGCTGGTTTTTAGATAGATGCAGTGGTGCCCCCACGGTTGCCCCAACCACGGGATAGAAGAAGAAGAAGAAGAAGAAGAAGAAGAAGAAGAAGAAGAAGAAGAAGAAGGGTAAGATTAACTGTTAAATGCACAGAGCATTGCATACATTGTGGATATGCAGTTATTATTATCAATATTAATATTATTATCATTATCACTTTTATTATTATTATTATTATTATTATTATTAATATTATTATAATTATCATCACTTTTAATATTACATGTATTATTATTATTATCATTATTATTATTATTATGACAATTTGTATTATTAATATCATTGGTATAATTATAATTATCATTCTTCTTCTTCCCCTTCTTCTTCTTCTTCTTCTTCTTCTTCTTCTTCTTCTTCTTCTTCTTCTTCTTCTTCTTCTTCTTCTTCTTCTTCTTCTTCTTCTTCTTCTAATCATCATGATGATGATTAGTATTATTACTTTTATTATTATTATTATCATCATGATGATGATGATGAAGACGATTTTTATTTTTATTATTATTATTCCACAGAAAAAGGAAAACAAAAAAAGAGAACAAAGAGAAAGAGAGAGAAAGAGAGATAGAGAGAGAGATAACTAGCCACTCTCAAAGAGAAAGAGAGAGATAGAGAGAGAGATAGAGAGAGAGATAACTAGCCACTCTCAAAGAGAAAGAGAGAGATAGAGAGAGAGATAGAGAGAGAGATAATGAGAGAGACAACGAGGCACTCACTGTGGTGACGTAACGAGAATGAAACTCTGGAGCATCTTGTAAAAATGTCAGCCCTGGGTGGGTCTCCACCACGTCCTGGGGGGGGGGGAGAGTAGTGATGATTAGATTAATAAAAAATACACCTGTACACACTACATCTTACACAAAGACAAACTAACATCCCGAGGGGGGAGGAGAGATAATAGTAATGATAAGATGTATAAAAATACATCTGTACAAACTTCATCATACACAAAGACAAGCGAGAAAATGGCCTCCAAAGATCGATGACTTCTAAAGCTTGAGAGGCCTTGGAAACTGAAAATCCTCAATTTGAGAGGCTTTAATCAGCGTTTTTCAGTAAAAATCCACAGAGAAATGTGTTTTTAAACAGACATAAAAGGTGTTGAGCCAAAAAACAAAAATTTGATAAAAATTCCCAAACCAGCGCAAAAATGCCAGTTTTGAACATTTTCACTATTCCGACGAGCGTCTGATAAATACAGCTGGGCATGAATAAAATGAACAGCAAAAATTTGAAATCACAGAGGGTTCGTATGATTTGCCATTCCCCAATTGATATCTCTTTGATTTGTTTGCTCTATCGCTTTCGCCAAATCATGTAGGTGTGGAACATTCCAGTACCCCCCGGGGCGGTGCTACTGACTGAAGTGTCTCTAGGCCATTCCCAAAGGGGGGAGACATTGACATCTCCAGTTCTTATGCACAGAAGAATTGTAATTGTAAATGGGCTGATTCATCAATGTCATGCTCATGACTATATATATCCGTTCATCAAACGGGACACCCGGCTAGTTCATCTATAGGTGGGCATGGCACGAACAGCTCACACACAAGAAACTCTGACTGAAATGTTCTTTTGAGTTTTAGTAGAGGTTTTACAGGGTTCGCAACTGCATAGGGTCATATGAGCGCCAAGGGGCGGATGTCAACAGAGAAGTCCTTACAGGGAATCAGACTTACTCTGCTCACCTCTCTAGTTTCAACAGCACAAAGTCTGTTTCGACTTTCAAGGCACCCCGGAAATAGCGGGTCACAAGAGAGTGACAAACATACAAAAGAAATAGAGGAAAAATGACAACAGTAAGGATTAAGAAAGAAAAAGCAGCAGTTCCCTGTCGCAGTTCAGGCATATTTATGAGCATGACATTGATGAATCAGCCCATTTACAATTACAATTCTACTGTGCGTAAGAACTCGAGATGTCAAGGTCCCCCACTTTGGGAATGACCTAAAGACACTCCAGTCAGTGGCACCGCCCCGGGGGGGTCTAAAGGGATTTGAAAACAACAGCAACAACGAGTTGGAAGATTATTATGCGGTAAAAAGCTGCCAAACCACAGAACAGTTTACCTGTACGAGCGGGTCAAAGTCTTCGAACTCTAGCACTGAGCTTCCAGGTTTGGCCGCCAGCCTCAAGAACTTGGAGGCCTCGTCGTGGCAGTTCTGGAACATTCTGGAGGGGAAAGCAACACACAGTGAGATTAACCCTTCCAGCCACAGCCATGTCTGTGCCCTCCCTTTAAAGTAGTTTTAGTAGAGGTTTTACGGCACTCGCAACTGCATAAGGTCAGATGAGCAACAGAAGAGTAGCAGTGTTCCAAGAGAGTAACAAACATAAAAAAGAAGAAGGGGAGATAAGGACGATAGATGTTCGATAGGAAAGAAGAAGCAAACCACAATAGAGCACCCGCCAACCACCCACGACATAAGTGCAACACATGATAGAAATAAGAAGTAAATAAAGAAGACAAGGCAGGGTACACACTACACCATCCACTTATGCAAAGACAGGCCATCAACAGAATATGGTCTCTTGTAAGGACAAGGGGCT